CCTACTATTCTCTCACTCAGGTCTATCAGGTCTATATCACTTTCCCTTCTGTTTCATCGTTCCCAAATTTTGTTGCTCATCTCTTCACCCATTCTTTCTTTCCTTGTAGGTTTATGCATTTAATATTTTAAAAACAAAACACTTTATTCTTTTAGTGAGTAGGTCTTTGTGTTCAATCTACTATCTTTAACTAGAAATTCCCAGTTCAACAAATTTCTGTATGGCCCTAACCAAAACCTAAAACGTAGTAACCAAGTACCTAAGACAAACCCAATCCCATCCCCATCCCCATCCGGAAAGGCCCAGAGTGAAGAAAGGTAAACAGGAGGATGGGAATAAAAAATAGGACTAAGGAGGTAGGGAGGGGGGCAAGGTCTGTTTATGTAAGAGAATGTCTACTCCTCTTTCACTCCTTTTACAGAAGTCTCTCTTACAAAAGAGTGGGGGGAGGGGAACAACATCCAAGGCTCTTTTCTAACTTTAGTAGGTGGATTTGGGTATTGGCATCAAAGGCAAAACTCCCACATGCTGGTTCTCGAGGGTCGTCCAGTGTAAGAGCCAGCTAGCTTTCTATCCGCATAAAGAAGCCCACCCATAGGCCCTCTACTGCCTCACCTTATACAGGAAAAGAAAACCAAGAATCACCCAACATCTAAGGAAAACCTGGGCACAATGAAAAAAAATTTAAATAAATTAAGAAACTGGCCCTGAAGAAAAGACAGTGTTGAGATCATCTCCTAGAACCTTGGTGCTTAAAATGTAGACCCTGGACAGCCTGGGAGCGTTAAGTGTGAGAAGAGAAACAGACATTTTAGTCAAGTCATACAAGGACTGAGAAAGTTTATTTCCTAATGACCCCCTCAAAGGAAATGACTTTAGAATGTGCATCAGCAGAGCAAAAAAGAACACCAAGAAAGCATAAAACATGATATTCAAGAGAGAATAGAGACAACCTGGGAGAGCTGTGAAAGGGAAGTCTAGTACACCAGTTGCTTGGTAAGTGAGCCAGTCCAGATTGGACTAGGAGAGGGGCATCTCCAAGAGGGCACTCTGGAGGAAAAAAGAACTCTGTAGAAAAGAAGGTATCATTGAGGCTCTGACCAAGGATATAATGCAGGAGCAGATGGAGCGGGGAGAAAGGAGAGGAAGATAGCTAGAAATGGGGAGAGGGGTAGATGTGCAAGAGAATCATAGCCCAAATGTGAAGCCAAACGCCAAAATTAGAACAAAAAGACAACCCAAGAAAAATGGAAGGATTTCAAGAATAGCTAGAAGTAATCGGAATAATCTTTCTCCAAAAGGAAAACTAAAAAGCAGCATTATTTTGACTAATTTGTAGAATATAAGAAAGGAAAATTCATATGGATATTATCTCTGAAGATCCTTATCAAGGTATCCTAAGAATGGCCTAATGGAAAATTAACAAAATCCTAGCCACTGTAGACTTACTTGCCTCTTCTGTGAAAAATATATACATAGTTATATTGTACAATAAATGCCATTATTATTGTTCAGCTTTTGCAATCAACAGACCTCACAAGGTTACAAAATAAAATGTAAATATTATCAATCTTAATTTTTATTTTAGGTAAACCTAGATAGAAGCTGAAAGAATGGGTAAGAAAGAAATGGAAGATGGGGCATTAATTATCTCAATTTAGCAAAGAAAGACTCCAAAGATACTTTCTATAAGCTCATAAAATACATATAATTTTAAGTATATAAAGTCACAAAGGTAATCAGTAGAACAATTTAAAATAGTGCTGCAAATATATTGGAAGTAGGACAAAGTCAACAGCAGGTGTGGTAAACTAAATCCTTGATCTAATATCTGAAGTTGATAAAACAAGAAACTGATGTAAGTATATTTTAAAATATTGCAGTATTCCCCAGACTTCAACATAAAATTGGTAAGACTAGACAGCAGAACTGGGATAGAAAGGGGTAGGGCAGGAGAATCTTGCTTTTCATTTATAAATTCTTTTGTACTGTTTGGTTTTCTAAAACCTCTTTTTAATAGTTAAACGCTGACTTCTTTAAGAAACTTTGTAATAAAAAGGAAATTCGATACATGAAAATCACACTTCAATGCTTTCATTCTGTGCATGTTTTTAACTGTTTTAAAGATACAAAAGTGTGTGAATATATACATATAATGCACATAGCAATAAAATGCTTTCCACAATAATTTGTTATGGGAAAATTTCTCCAACTCACAGGATGTCATATTTTCAATGCTCCCAAAGATAGAATTTAGCATGAGGACTGCAACTGGTACAAAAATGTTTCAGAATTGAACACTAAAATGGTAAGCTGAAGATAAGCACAAATTATTA